TTGAACCACCAGCCTCCTGGTTAGCAGTCAAGTGCCTTAGCCTGCTTAGGCAAGTAATAACATGCAATAAATACCTGCTGAATAAATGAATCAACTGAATACCACTGCATGCATGAAGTCTTCCCCTATATTCCCCAGCAGAAAATGATTCTTCCCAAACTCCTTCAATTCTTTATCCTTAACTTTTTCATTCACTACATTTACGGGAGGAGCAAGAGATAAAGTAGAGATCCTTGCAAGCAAAGCTACTTGTTTCAGTAATTTTTGTTCTCTCTTCCAGAACCTAATTAATTCCTTGCCACTAGTAAGCTCTCAAATATCTGCTAAATAAATCAGAGTAACTCGAAATGCTAAAGTTCTACTATTCAATTCTTTTCCAGTTCCTTTTCCAATTGCAAACACTGTTGAGTAAACAAAACTGTACTCCACTCTGAGGCTCACAGAGGACTATTATTAGAGAAGTCAAGGCAGAATGGTTCAGAATCACACACAGGTATCCAGTGAAAGTTTTATTTCAGAAGCGAATAAATTGAGAATTTTCTACTTCTTACTGATTACTTCCAAAGGATGTATTTCCAAGGATATATTTATTAAATGCTATGTTATATATCCTATGATAAAAAATTAACCCACTGCCATTGACTCAATATTGACTCATAGCAATCCTATAGGACAGAGTAGAACTGCCCCGAGGCTGTCAAAGCTATAATTGTTTTTCTATTTTTATTTTTATTGTGATTTGGGTGAAAGTTTACAGACCAAATTAACTTTCCATACAGCAGCTCATACACACTTTGTCTCATGACATTGACTCCAATTTCCCACAATACAACAGCTCTCCTCCTTCTTCCTCCCCATAGTTACCTATTCCTTGTGTCCTTCCCTTCCATGCAGTCCTGCCCCACAAGCTGTCTCCCTGTGCATACACAGCCCTTCTACTCTCCCATGATTGATCTCTCCAAGGAGTGTATCTACCTAATGTAAATGTTCAGCTCATATGCCTGTCTTTTGTTCGGCTGGAAGCCACAGGAGTGGGTTCAATTCCAGACCTGAAGGGCAGCTAAGGGCCATAGTCCCAGTGGTTCCATTAGACTCTATCAGGCCAGCAAATCTGGTCCCCAACCCCTTTTTTGAAATGATTTTGAGTTTTGTTCCACATTGTTCTCTCAACCTGTCCAGGATTTCCTGCATATATTCCTTCTCTGAGTGATTGACAGCAGTAGCCAGGCACTATCTAGTTCTTCTGGTCTCATAGTCATATAGGCTGAGAATTGCATGGTGTACCAGTCACTTGGACTAATTGTTTCTATGTGACTTTGGTTTTCTTCATTCTTTTCTCTGGATGAGGAGAGACTCATTGTTGCATCTAGATGGCTGCTTGCAAACTTTTAAGATCCTAGTCACTGCTCGTCAAAGTAGGATGTGAAACAATGTTTTTGTGTAGTATGTTACTCCAATTGAGCTTGATGTCCCCTGCAATTATGGTCCTGAGCCCACTCACTCCCTCTGGGTAGCTGGCTGTGGCCAAGAAGTGACTACAACCTTGTCTCTTGTCAGCTCTACTTTATACCTGGGAATTCTTACAGAACGTACAAATACACTTGTGGAAACATTATCTGCCACCCCTATACATGGTCTGGGGCACACTCCCCCCTGCATAGACATACCTAATAGTTCAGCCTGTCTACCCATCTATCCACTCATAGATCAATGTTTAAGGCTATAAATTTTTATGGAATCAGAGTGCAATATTTTCTTTTGCAGAGCACTTGGTGGGTTCAAACAACCAACCCCACAGTTATCAGTTGAGAGCTTTAATGACTGCACCACCAAGGCTTCTTTATATCCTACGATACCAAAACCCACTGCTATCACATCAATTCTGACTCATAGTGGCCCTATGGAACAGAGTAGAACTATCCCATAGAGTTTCCAAGGATGTAAATTTACAGAAGACGACTACCTCATCTTTCTCCTGCAGAGCAGCGGGAACCACCAACTTTTTGGTTAGCAGTTGAATGCTTTAACCACTGCACCACCAGAGTTCCTTATATCTCATGATCACATTCCACTACAACCAACTTGATTTCAACTCATAGCAACCCTACAGGACTGAGCAAAACTTCCCCATACAGTTTCGAAGGCTATACATGTACAGAAACAGAGTGCCTAATCTCTCTACTGAAGAGTGGCTAGTGAGTTTCAAACCTTTAACCTTTTGATTAGGAGCAGAATGCTTTAACCACTATGCCACCAGAGCTCCTCATATCCTATTGTTGTTATGTGCCGTGAAGTACTATGATAACCCAAAAAACCAAACCCACTGCAACCAAGTCAAATTCTGATAGTGATCCCTGTAGGGTTTCCAAGGCTGTAAATCTTTACAGAAGCAGATTGCCTCATCCGTTTCCCATGGAGCAGCTGGTGAGTTCAAACTACCAACCTTTTGGTTAGCAGCTGAATGCCTTACTACAACACCACCAGAGTTCCTTTGTATCCTATGATTATTGTTGTTAGTTGCCATCTGTTGGCTACGAGTTGGCTCTGACTCGTAGTACGTTAGGTATGATTGAAAATAACATTGCCAAGTCCTCCACCAGCCTCACAATCCTTGCAGTGCTTGAGTCTCTCATTGCAGCCACTGTGTCAATCCATCTCACTGAGGGTCTTCTCCTTTTTTGCTGACCCTCTACTTTACCAAGCATGATATCCTTCTCCAGGGACTGGTCCCTTCTGACAACATGACCTATGAGAGAATCTAGTAAACACTGCTCAGCGTTCTCCATTTGCATTGTGTATATTGTCCACATATTAATAACAGGAAGATTTTATCAAAAACTGTTCTGCCTAAAGCACTCTAGTTAAGGCCAGCAATAATCTTATAAAATAGGAAACTGTAGCTCAGAGATATGAAATAAAATGTTTCGCATTTCAGAGCTGATATGGTTGCAGGAACAGGTACTGAATCCAGATGTGCTGGGGCTAAGGTACACATTCTCCCCTTTCCTTGGTGTTGCTTCCCTAACCCCAGTCACAGTTCTGCTAGTCAGTCTTTTAACTGCTAGTATTATAAGACACATATGCTTTGATTGTCTTTGAGCAAAGAAATTATTCCACTTTTAATTTTAGCACAATAAATTTTGTTTCCAAATGCTTTTTACTAAAATCCTACCTTAAGATTTTCTAATAGTATTTTTCATCAGTTAGTTTTAAAGTTCATTGGTTTATTGGCACCAATTCCACAAAACATTAGAATTTCAAATATTTTACCAAAAATTTCATACAAGTGTCATAAGGGTGACGATTTTTTAAGTGTCATTATTTACATCTAATGACATTTTAAATAAGTAATCTTCTGTATACCTAAATGATGGCATGAATACCCACTCGTGCTATTATAACATCTTGTATATTATATACAATAAAAATATTTCTTACCTGAATTATTCCATGCAGAATTAATGAATATGAGATATAATTCCCTCAGGTTAATCATAGTCTCTTGTTAGTAATTTCATTTGGTGGATTTTGTTTTTTTATATTTGCTTCTTTAAGTATTAAAAGTATAAACTGTGCTTTAGATTAGGATGGAGGTCAATTTATTAGATTCATAAACAGGAAAAAGAAATTATAAACTGAAAGGGAAAAGTTTAATGTAATAAGTGGATTAAAATTAACTTAGTATAATTATGAAGAGAATAAGCATATCTTTAAGGAATATAATTTCCATACCCCCAAAAAAAGCAACTCAAAAACACAACTAATGTTAAATTTAATTTAAAGCTTTGAAAGTTACTTAGAAGTTGTGCCTTTCAAGACATAGATTAGCCAAAATTATTCCAAGAAATATGTTCATCTAACCTTTGAGCTGGCACCTTATCCTGGCTATTCTCTGCCTTAAGACGTAGAAAGCTGCAAAACAAATGTCCAAAAAAAGAAATTCCAGATCTTTTCTCTGTAAGGAGGCTGGACTTGGGTATTTATCAACTTGTTACATTCCCGGAGACTTACACATAGTCAACTCTCAGTGCTTCTCTGAAACAAAAAAAAAAATCTAGGACATGTTTAAAATAGTAATTTTTAGTCACTATTTTGTTATTAAAAAACATTTTATAACAAAAATATTAACTAGTAATTGAAGTTATGCTATTCTCCTGTAATCCAAATTCATATTAAAATACTTCAGACCTTTTGTGACACTGTACCTTCCCATCCAATTTTTCATTTTTCAGAATATTACTTTTTAGTTCCTAGAGACAGTATCCTTTTATTTAAATTAGTGTTGGACAAAATATCTGAAAAAAAAAGTAAAACTTTTCATCAATTAATAACCAGACTAATATTTTTTAAATTGATACATCTTTACTTACCTGTTTCTTACATACTGTATATTCTTTTTTCTCTCCAATTTTGAGGAGGAAATATTAAGGTGTTTTTTTGTTTTGTATTTTTGTTTTGTTTTGTTTTTTAAGTATTTTAACCTTCCCATCCACGGCATTTTCTTCTTGCATGGCTGCTTTGGTTGTCAATAGCAATAAGAATTAACATGAAAGCTCAGCCATTTCATTTGAAGACACATAAATAACCCAGTTTGATGAAAGTAAAGGGAAGAAACTTGAAACACTACTGATAATGGTCAGTATTCAGACCAGCCTAGAGATCCCAGGGGTAAAAGAAGAGATGATTTTACTTCTCTTCTGGATCAAAGCCTTTCCTCTATAAAATATCCACTTTCCATTTTGATGCGCATTTTTGTATAATTTAAAATAAGGCAAATGAGGCCTTTGGGGGTGATGTGAAAAGAGAAAAAAAGTTTTAAGTCCAATTTGATTCAATCGAAGCAATAGTTTCTATTATTGATCCAGAATGATTGCTCTGTATTTTAAAAGCATACATTACTCTTACTTGTCATGTTGGTTAGATTTATAACAAAACAGTGTTTCATTTTATTGCTGTTGTTAATGTTAAGAGAACTCACCATGTCTTGATGTAGACACATTTCTTAAAACAGGATAATGAAATAGATCCTATTTCAATCTAAGCAAAAAACTGAAAATAAATCGAAGCATAAAAACAAATTCCATTCTGGATCACATATTAAGAAAACTGTTTATGACTATGGTCATGCATAAGAAGGAAAAATATAAAAGGATACCATTTCTTTAGTATTCTTCAATAGCCAATTTTGAATATCTGATTTATCAGGGAAAATATTTCAAATGCTTTTAAAGCAAAGGTAAACAACTCTATAAAGAATAGCAAACATCATTATTTTCTAATGTTGCATTAGTACTCAAGCAGCCAAGCAGTTCTATATAATCTATTTTCTTCTTATAATATCTTAAAGGTGGATCACATTTTTCTATTCAACATAATATGTCAACACATACAGATTCAGTAAATTTTATTATCTCAATAGGGATACCTCTTAAACAAAACCTCTACCATAAAATTTTAGCCAATAACCTACACCAACTGAAATTTGCATCTTTAAAACTACACAGAACTGCATTTTAAATCAGAGCAATGTTAAACCTGGAAGAGATGACTTCCAAGAAGCTTCTGGAGTCAATTCTCCTTTGATGCATGAGGATATTTTCACAGGCAGCCATCACAATTGTGAAAGTTACAAAAGATAAATGCCCAACACGCATCTTTTGTGGTATTATAATCCCCACCAAAGTAGGAAGCACTAAAATAGGATTCATTAACAGCATATAATAAATATAGAAATGTCTGCTTCATTTTCTCTTGATAATTCGTTTCTCTACAGCCACGGTAAGGTGGTCACAATAGTAAATGCATGCAACATTGCCAGCAAAGCCACTCAGTTACGGTTTACAACTCCAGAGCCTGTCCAAGAATCACTACTTCAGTTCATCTAAAGATTCCCAGTGATATTATGTGCTTTACTTGGTGTAGTTAAAAATAATAAGGACTCTGATGATTTCATGAAATCATGGCTCATATAAACCAGACAAACTAAACTATTTGGGGATTACTTTTTTTCCTCTCCTGTTAAGCACAGGTTTACAGATTTGGAGCCAATTCTGGGTTTTAGACACTGTTAAAGCAAATGAGGGATAAGAAACCTCAAGGAACTGTACCCTCTTATTATGCAAAAGTACCCCTATCTTCTGGGGTAGAGTTTAACTTACTATAAAGAATTTTAAAATGTCTGAATGTTGGACCAAGCATACTTCTGAAAAGAAAATAATGAAATTCCATAGACTAAGATGACCTTCTCAGCTACAAGACCCAGACTGGAGTCACACAGCCTCATGAGCAAACAGAGACAAGACACATGAGCCTCCTTACAAGTAATAAACGCCAGGTACATGCATGAAAGAAAAAGGTCCTCCCCAACACTGTCCTTCTACCTTCCAACACTAACCTTCAGTAATAACTCTAAAAAGTCTCCATTTCTCAACCTTAAATTTTGTGCTTTATTTCTCATCATCAGGAGTTTTTATTTTCCTGGCAGACTCTATTCACAGAAACTATGCAACTCTGGACATTATAACACTAACCTTGAGGACAAGAGACTCTAGGAATGACACTGTGAGTAAAAATGGAGATGATTCCTACTTTCAGTCCACTTTTTTACAAGCACTGAAGCTACAGAAGAGTTCTTCAGACCTCAGCACAGGGTCTGGATAGACAGACCATTTAGCAAATCTGCAAATTCTCTCTTAATAATATTAAAACTTTTTCCCAAGAAGTAACTGTTTCACAAAACACTTACACTATTGTTACTAAACTAAAATATGCACTGGAGTGCTTTAATTCTTGTTCATACCTACACACTAATGTACAATAATCTTTTAATTCAACAATATTTTAAAACTCAATCCAGGGGACAAAGTGCCTTGAAATCATGATTCTCTAGGTGAAACACCACAAAATATTTGATTGTGACTATGTACTTGGGACAATTAACCAGTAGAAACTATTAACATAGTAAATGTATGCAGTATAAAATCAATTATGAACACTCATGTACATTTTTTAAAAGTTGAGCAAGTAAGCACAGGCTGTGATTTGTGTTTTTCTATTAATCATCAACAGTGTTGCTATTCGTTGTCATGTAAACAACTGGCAGATAATTATCAAATGTCATTATAAGATAACTCTAAAATAAAATAGGAGGTACCAAAGGATTTGGAAAAATATTTGGAGTGGCAGAAAATGTGTATTTGGAAAATCTGTCCATGGAGTTAGTTCCTGTGAATTTAGTACCAAAACTTTTGGCTATATGAGGACCTTCAATAAAAACTGAATTTGAGAATTAACTGTTTATAAAAAGTAAGCCAACATCTACTGTAAAACAACCTTCTTTTGGCAAAGTAAGCATAAATTCAGGAATTTCTAATTATTTCTTCCTTCTGTGCACATTAGCACAATTTAAACTGTAGTGGACACATTTCCTAAAATTTCGTATTAAGTCATATTTCAAAAGGCCCTACCCTTGTGATCTGATGATGTTATAATAAGAAAACAATGTCAGTTCTAGAGAACTTATGTCATTAATCTACCAGGTCAGGTAACTACTAACCAGCTGCTACTAAGTTGAATCCAACTCATGGAGACCCCATGTAGGCTCCATAGGATTCTCAATGGAGACCTTTTGGAACCCAATCACCAGGCCTGTCTTCCAAGAAGCCTCTGGATGGGTTTGAACCATCAATCTTTTGGTTAGTAGGCAAGCATTCAGCTGTTTGCTGCAGCCAAGATGAATGTAGATTCTACATTAATCTACAGAATAGTTAAAGAGATTTTGACCAAATGAAATGTTTAGTTTTAATATTTATTTCAAACTTGTTATCCACATGCAAATCATCTATGGCAAATCCTTATTCTCAAATTAGCTCTCTGCTGGTATCTACTAACTACCAAGGTAGTCTCCAGGTTTAGTTAATGTATGTGTTAATACATGGCAGAAAATGAGGGCTTCTGAATAAAATATAATTAAGGAAAACCTATTTCTTCTCTAAAACCAAATATTATATAAATAATACTATATATGTGGTCATTCCTACCTCTTCTTCCTTCCACTAGCGTTAAGAATAAAGGGGCTTAACAGTGTTTCATCACCAAATTAAAACTAAAATTCTTGATGTGGTTGGTGTTGTTAGGTACCATTGAGTCTGCTCTGACCACAGAGACCCCATGCACCACAGAACAGAACACCGCCTAGTCCTGCACCATCCTCACAATTTTGCTATACTTGAGCCTATCATTGCAGCCACTGTGTCAATCCACCCTGTGCAGGCCTTCTGCTTTTTGCTGACCCTCCATTTTACCAAGCATGATATCCTTCTCCAGGAAATGGTCCCTTCTGACAGCATGACCGAAGTAAGTGAGACGAAGTCTGGCTATTCTCACTTCCAAGGAGCATTTTGGCTGTACTTTTTCCAGGATAGATTTGATATTTAAACAAACAAACAAAAAGAAACCAAACTCACTGCCATCAAGTTGAATACGACTCATAGCGACCCTCCCTTCCGTTTCTGAGGTGGTATCTCTGTGGAAGTAGATTGCCCAATTTTCCTTCCAAGGAGTGGCTGGTGGGTTTGGTACCACCAGCCTTCTGGTTAGCAGTCAAATGCCTCAGGCACTATGCCACCACAGCTTCCAAATAGCATCCACAAAATAATATTCAATGAACACATAGATGCCTGTCAATACCTGACCACATATCTAAATGCTTTATCATAGCTGGGCTGTTACATACTTCCTTTCCTGGCTTTATTAGGAATTTATTATGACCATGGTTATCTGTTTAATTATGTACTAGTAGAAATTATGATGAAATCATAAAGTGTAAAAACAATCTTGAGTACTTTAAAATAGAAAACATCTACATTTGATTATTCCTTAATAAACTCTATACCTTGAAACAGACCTCTTTT